CTAACCTAATATCGGCAAATTAGAGGGCAACCCCCTAATCCCCTTCCCAAATTGCAATTTATTCCCTAGTGTTAGAAAAATGCAGAGGAGAAAGGGCGATCCCCACATTCCCCAGCGGCAAATTGAAATCCCACCCCTCTCATCAGATAAGGGTGTTAAAAAGGTTAAAATGAAGCGGGGCGCCGCAACCCCCTAATTGCGGGGGCCCGGCCTAACTAGCCCTTAAATGTCGTATCTCTAATAGACCAAGCCCTTAAATGTGAGGCTTCCCTGACTTTTTTTAAACATGACCTTTGCTATGTGGCAGGTGAATACCACACCAGGCCTGCCTTGTATCTTTAAAGTCAGCTAGCTCCTTAGAGATCGATAACTTCACCGCACTACCATTTCTAGGCCTAGCACCATTTCGCGACAAGCTAAAACTCTAAGTGGTTAATGCAAATATTTTACGCCTAATTTTGGTTGGTTGGTAATTTTGTATAGTTTTTTTGTTTTTATTATTTCTTAATGATATTTACAACTGTATTAAATAAATACATCTATTAAATTTGAACATATGGATATAATGACATGAAAACACTTGCTGAGTAACTACCCAATGGTAGCACTTTAATAATATGTCTACATTAGGAGATCACTGGACCATCTTCTTTTCAGACGCCTCAGAGGGTTATCAGGAATTAAAGAGGAAGCAAGGTTAGAAACGAGAGGGTTGGGGTGATTATGAAGTTTATTATGGAAGGATAGGTATCTGTTTTGGGTCAGATCTGAAACATAAGAAACATTAAAGTCATTATGGATGGTTTTATTCGTAACAAAGTAGGGAGCACTGAGGATTTTACGAAGGATTTTTGATTGTAAGGATTGGATACGAGAGGAATTCGGTGGTTTAGTGGAGCCCCATAGCTCAAATCCGTAACTCCAAATAGGCCTTATTATAGTCATGTATATGTCTTATGTAATTAATTGGAAGTTTAGAGCGTTTGTCTTCTAAGTGCTGAAGTAATCGGAAACGTCGAGCGGTTCTCTTGTCGTTTCAGTCTAGTATGTTGATTAATTTAAGTTATTCTTTGTTTATATATTATACAAGTCTGTTTGTGTTTTTTTTTTTTTTTTGATCTAAGCATTTATGAACTCTTTCATACCAAGTTAATATTATTTTAAAACACTTTATTAGAACATGTAATAAATATAAAGAAATAATATCAGTACACCTCCTTTATATATTTCATATTATTATTATTATTATTTTATTTTTTCTCATTTTCCCGCTTAATTACAATAAACTATTTGATGAATTAAACTAGTTACTGAAAAGTTCTTACTGAACACTTTTTTATTTGTTTTTTTATATAAATATGAAAATTGTCGGGAGCAAAAAAGAGTCGATCTGATTTAAAACTGGAATATTATAACAAATATGCTCTCTTTTGGAACATGCGATTTTCAAATGAAAAATTCAAAAACTCAAATCTCCCTTATTTACAACCTTAGCGAACCACTAGCGGATCCAGGATTTAATTTTTTTTTTTGAAGGGAGGCTTTTTTTCATAAAAATAACGATAATTATTTTGGAAAAACAGAAAGAAACTAATTAACTATATGAAATGGTGTTTAAGTGATTCCTAAAGTCCTTTTAAATGTAATTACACGAACAATAATACTGTAAGAAATAATTTTTTTCCAGAAAACATGGTTATATTTTACCATTTAATTTGGAGGGTAACCCAAAGAATCCCCCCCGTAGATCCGCCCGTGTAGCGAACTGATTTCATAACTCGGTACATCAAGTGGGGTAATATTGCCCCCAAGGTTGAGGCAACATCCATTATTCTTGTACGCAATCAACTATTGAAAATCCCATATCCCACAACTGGTCTCATGGTCAGGCATATGGAACAAGGGGATGATCCTTTATCTATAGTTTTTACTGCTGGGGAGGGCGACCGCCCCAACCTCAGCCCCCTCATAGATCCTTATCCGCCAGATATCTCTTATCTCGGGGTATTAATCCCTTATTTGTCAAGAGCCAGGCGGAAATAGTAATTGACTGGACTCGGTTGACCCCGGGGGATTCCCATGGGCCGATCTATTGAGTCCATTGAGTCACGACTGCAAAAGACATGGGTGAAAGGGAGCGGAACATGGGGATAACAGGAATCCTGGATAGTAATCCACTTGAAATCGAAGTTTTTGAATTGATGTATTTGTCAAACTGCTCAATAAACTCACTGATAGTTCGTTCTCCCTTCGGATATTAAATGCAAAGGAATTCGAACATTCTTTCAATATCAGATTGAGTCTTGAGCTCCGTTATGTTTCTTAAATGAACTCTTTTTGCCTGCCAGAATCGGAAGCATAAGAACAGAGTACCTTACACACTGAGCTCTATCTTATGAAGTGGCTAAAATTGTTTGGGCGGATATTTTTTTATTTCTGTTAAGCTGTAAAACGTATAGCGATGGATAGGATTTGTCATAGACACCATATACTGATTAAAGTCCTAATTATTCAACTAAAAAAACACAAAAGATAGATAAGTATAAATAGTTTTCATACTTAATTTTAACAATAAACGATTGTTCATAAATTTTTAGAAAATACAAAAAAAATGTGTAAATGCTAAAGAAATCATAGGTATTTTCTACACTTGATTAGTTTGAACCAAGAAGTCTCCTATGCCTGAGGAAATCTCTGAAAGAAATAAAAGGGCAAAGAAATAAGTTTTTCTCTACTTTTCTTCGTCTTCTATGCTAAGTTTCTCAGAAGGAATTTTTCCTGGTTGTTCTTCAGTATATATAAGTCCTCAAGTATTCTAAAGCCAGTAAGCAAATGTGCTGTAGTTTCCTCTCCAGTCGTGCGCAATGAACAAACTTTTCTACTTGAAAATTGTCATAAAAAAATATAATAAAATAAAGTGATCTATTTACAGTATTGCAATGTTCCACAATAAAATTGATATATAATTCATAACTCTTTCCGAAAACTATAGTTTTAATTTTAAAATTAAAATATTAAAATATCGAAGGGACGATATCAATAGTCGATAATTTTAAAGTAGATGGTAAAATATCGAATATCGGAAGGAAAATATCGATGTTTCGATAATATTGACTATGTATGGCCATCTCAACTCTTGTGCTCGTTTTAACGGATGGGTTCTGCAGTATATATTTCTCTATATATACCGTCTGTATCACGAAAAAACATAGTTCCTGTTAACTAGTGTATTCACCCTGTTTTGTAATGATCGGACACAGTTACGATTATGAAAACTTCAATTCTCCGAAGCCTTTCTTAATCTGGAGAATCATTACACCTAAACCACACGACCATCATTACCCGGTAGCCAATCTAACAAAAATATATACCCCCAACCCAAGCCAAAGAACCATCGGATCAAAAGGACTAAGGTAGTGGCTGTTAAATTGAGTTAGGAACTTGTAGAAGGTAATGGGCAATATCCGAGGGCCGACCTCAGCAAATCCCCTAATTTCCATTCCATCCCTTTATTGGTTTTCTTCTTTCGCTTCTTAGTCGCCAGATTTACCCTTCACTCTCCCTCCCCCTATACCAATTACCAACACCGGAACCCTTTAAGCTGGCCTCCGAGTCAGTTTTTTACTAAAGTTTGCAACTTCAACTTACTCAGGCTGAAAGGAAGTTGCGTTCCTTCCTCTCCAGCTCATTTTAACGCCGGTAACTAAAGAGTAGAACCCTGAGTTATTGACGACTTCTTGCATTCATTTCATGGATTCCAGAACCGAATCAACCTTTCACATCGATCCTGTTAGTATGACTTGAGAAAACTATAGTTGAACATTCTAAATTATGTTCCATGATAATTTGTAAAAGAAGGGTCTGTATGTTGTAATGAAGTTTCTTAGTCAAGGATTGTGCAAAGAGATGATTTGACCGAGATTACGCCAAACTACCAGATTTTTCCTATTAATTTTGTTTAACTTGTTTATTGAAAAATATTACAATCTGTCTCAAAGAACATTTATAATAGTGTTCAGAGATCACATTCATACTCTGTGTACAATAAATAAGAATAAAATAACCTCAGAAGAGTCTCCCAATTTCCAAGATCTTGAAGCCAGGATCGGGAGCATAAGAACAGAGTTCATTACACACTGAGTTATCCCGCTCCAACTATGTTATGAAGTTACTAAAACAGTATGGGTGGATATTTTTTTATTTCTGTTAAGCTATACAACTTATAGGGATAGATAGGATTTGTCATGTACGCCATATATCGATTACGGTCCTAACCCTTCAACTAAAAAATAAAAAAAAGATAAATAGTTTTCATAATTACTTTTAACAATAAATGATTGTTCATAAATTTTCAGAAAATAAAAAAAAATACTAGGTCTATGCTAAAGAAATCATACATATTTTCTTCGGTTAGTTAGTTTGAACCAAGAAGTCTCCAATACCTGAGGACATCTCTGAAAGTAATAAAAGGGCAAAGAAATAAGTTTTTCTCTACTTTTCTCCGTCTTCTATGCTATGTTTCTCAGAAGGAGTTCTTCCTGGTTGTTCATCAGTATTTGTAAGTCCTCAAGTATTCTAAAGCCAGCAAGCTAATGTGCTGTAGTTTCCTCTCCAGTCGTATGCAATGGACAAACTTTTTTACTCGAAAACTGAAATAAAAAAAATATATAATAAAATAAAATTATCTGTTTACAGTATTGCAATGTTCCACAATAAAATTTAATACTATGATTTAAGTAATTAGACTGCCTCAATTTTTATTACTCTAAAAAGAACACAAATAAATTAGTGAATTATGAAGTGATTAAACTGATTGAGAAAATCTGAGAGCTGCATAGAGTTATTTATTTAAAATCTACGTTTTATCATACTTGGGGTTCTCATATGATTCCCGGAAAAAGCATAGACTTGATCAAATTAAATTATTTATTTCTATGCTTATTATTTTGTGAAGTTGACGGGAATGAGACTTGAGAGAATAATGGAATTATTATTTTCAGGCAAGCTCTGTTGCAAAGGCCTCAGGAAGAGGGAAAGAAACAGGAAACCAGACAAGACCACGAAGAAGAGAAGTTACTGGATGTCGTGGGGACATCTGAACCACCTTTCCGTATACCACCACATCATCATAGAGGTAAGGGACACAGAGGACCAAGTAATATAATATTAGTCATTACCAATATAAAATTAACATAAATAAAATGTATCTATAGTAAAACTAAAAAAAAAAGAAAAAAAAAATCAATTATGAATAATATTAAGAAAAGAATCTATTAAGTTTCCCAAATGTTCTATATTCAGAGCTATTTGAAAAAAATCTGAAAACATGAGCGCAACAATAATAATAATATTTTTTAAATAATATATTAGCTAATTTCTAAGTAATGGTCCTCTTAGTTGTTAAAAAAAATACATAATAGTTTTTAATATTTTAGATAATTCGTTTTTATTTTTTAAATTATTTTTATTACTACTCTTTCTAGAAAAATCGGCTCTATTTTTAAGTTCAAACGTCTGTTTTCGTTTCATCAAAAAATAAATAAATAAATAAATAACTAAATATGTATGTTTACTTTAGGAAGCTGGTTGTAACAAATTCTTTTTTGATTTTCAGCCAATGAGAACGCTAGTGTTTCTAAATTTGGCCACAAATTTCTTATACCTAATAGCCTCAGAATAAACTCAAGTCTTTACATTACTATCAAGGAAAAAATATTGAATTCCGACAGAGGAGTCTTGAAGGATTTCATTATAAATTTCTATTCAGACATTTTTGGGTGATGTCAATTTAATTTAATTTTTATTTTATTTTTTATAATGCCTCAATATGTTTCCTTGTGGTCATATGAAAGCTGATTTCATAGAAGACGCTTCGAAGGAAATAGAAGATTGGGCAGTCGGATAATGAAAGTTGAAGAAGAACAGTGAAGACTGAAGATAGAAACCTATGAATTTGAAAAGGGATTGTAAATACAAAAAAAAAAAAAAACACCACACGATAGTTACATTTTTTTCTTTTTATTTATTTGTTATTAATTTTTTTTTCAATTCACTTCTTCAGATCAAGTGTTGAAATAGATTTTTATTTCAAAAAGTAGTGAGAAATTTGCTTGATTAAAAAAACAAAACAAAAAAATCATTTTTCTGCTCTATTTAATCGTTTAAATTTTGTATTATATCAAGAAAATTGTTTGTGGTCAAATTTTCTGATATTACGAATCGTGTGGCGAAGAAAGAAGACCGAAGAATCGACTTACAAAGACGACGAATGAAGGAATGAAGCACCTAGTGGGATAGAACACGTAGGATTCTATTATAAATGACATTTATAATTTTAATGGCGGAGTTCATTAATTTCTCCTTGATTTGTCGGCTTGTGTTTTGTTCTGAGGCACAAAATAAATGTTTCATTTTTTAAAATAGTATTTATTACGGCTACTAGGCGCATGCGTAAAAAAAAAAAATCCAATCTACTTATTTTTATCCGACAGGCAAAGCACACAGCCGGCAAATCTACAGAGATGACGAAAATGTGTTGAACTCCATGAAGATTGTTTCTATATCTATAAGTGTCATATTTATATTTATATTTATCGATGGTGCTTAGGTAGCCGACTTTAATTTTTATTATACAAAATAAAACTTTTGTTTTATATATAATATAAATTTCCGTTCTTCGGGCCAGTCCTTCCCCCACCTAACATTCTATTTCTTGCTTATCTTTTCAACTATTTTTTAAATAAATCAAAACAGTGATCAATTATTTGTAAAAACTAAAAATACTAGCACTTCATAAAAAAAAAAAAAAAAAATGTGTATCAAATATATGATGTTATAATGGTACAAAAATAGTTCACTGTAAATAAAATGGTTGGTAAGTTGTTGCTGTTAGAGTGAAAAAAAAATAACTTTTTTTAAATTTTATTTTATCCAAAGTTTTCAGGCCTTCATCAGGTCTTCTCGTTTGGCAGAAATGTTGGCATAAAGTTTGTAAATAACAGCAGAGTATCGGACAGACTGTTATATTGTTGTTTACAAACATAGGTAATAGCTCGTAATTTAATTAATTCTTTACTATTTTATTCTTTACTCAATACCCGAAATTATTCGCTCGGCTACCCCATCATTATTTATGCTTGTGAATAACAACTTATAACCAACAATATAACAGTCTATTCAATTATCAGCTGGTATTTACAATTTTTTTTCTCTCGGTAACCACAACACCCAACCATTTTCCGATCCATAGGATGTTATCTAGGATCAATCTGGTAAATTTACTTACCTTTGAGGGACTTTATCAATCCTCTATAATTGGATATTAATATTCCAAAGAGATCCTAAGGTTTAATTTTAAAGTACGATTTTCCTAATTTTGATAGCCTACTGATTTTAATAAATATTTACGTGGAAGAAAAAAGTTGATTATTTTCTTTATTCCTACTGTTTTATTTTTTGTTAAAATAAAATTATTTTGACCGATTCATTCACCAATTCGACCTGCTTTATCAATATGTTTTATCTAATATTTCTGATTAGTCTGTTTTCATGTTAAAAAAAATAAACTTTTTTTTCTCTATTCCAGACTAAAGTATTAAGAAAAATAATTTAAAAACTATACAATAGTATTTTAAAAGTAAGATGCGATATAATCTTATAATGTACATGTTTAATAATTATTCCTTAAATAATTTATCGTATATAAATTCTGAAATTTTCTTGATCTATAAAAGATATATGTTTATAAAATTTATAGAAAAAAATGTATTTAAAATTTATTAGCAAATAAAAACATAAATTTGGGTACAAAAAAACATTTTTTTTTTACGAACTAAAATCTTAGATAATATATTTAATGCAATTTAACATATTTAACAAAGCAATTTCAAAACTACAATTGAAATAAAACAAAACCTCGTGTGTATCTAGTAAACAAAACATGCATTAACTTATAAATTTAATACTCATTTCAAAATCGAAAACTTCCAAAAAAGGTGTATGTGGAAGATTCTAAAAATAACACATTTTAAGTCAGTTAAAGACAAGTAAATGGACATCTTGGCGTGGTTTAGTGTTGCCCAAAATCGGTCTTGGTCTTGCACTTTGCAAGACCGAGACCAAGGCCGCCTAACTGTTGCAAGACCAGGACTGGTAAAAGGAATCGATTTTTTGAATGAAAATTAAGGCAAAATAGTTACTTATACTTGACAGTCTTAGTTACTATAAGTAAATAATTCATATAACCAATATACTTTTGCATTTATCTCCTCTAATTTTTCATTCGGACTTAGTTAGGTTTCTCCTATCTAAAAAATTACAGTAATATCTCTATATTAATAAGCTAATAAGTAACTACAAGACTGTTGCGAGACTCTTGCGCAAAACCAAGATCATGACCAAGACTGAATTTGCAAGACCAAGACTGGTCTCGGTCTCGCATTTGGGCAATACTAGCGTGGTGTATTGGATCGATGGGTCGTTTTTAAGACTGTTAATATTATTCAATTTCTTTTTTTCTGTCTCGATGATGCCTAAATTGGCTAGATGTTTATTGTTTAGTTACATATTTAATAATATTTGAGTGATCCTCAGGCTTGGTTTTTTAAATCTCTCCAATCAAAGTCTTTTACAATAAAGATTATTTAATCGTCTTACAAAATAAAAACTTGACTAAACCAAGTCATCTTTCATGAACTGTAAAGATATTTCCAATTCTTCCCTATCTGCTAAATAATACCTTCTGCTAGAACGCAACTTGCGACTTAAATATTTTATTTGCTTGATTAGTGACTTAGTTTTTTTTTTAATATCTCTGTAGTTAGTGTTGACACTAAAACTTGAGTAGGTTGGTTCGCAGGTGAGCCGGAGCCAGGAAGGAGGGGCGATGGGGACAGCGAAGCTGAAAGCAGTTGCGAGTCCGAGAGTGGCCCGGGTTTTAGACCCCCGACACCGCTAGACCAGCCTGCGGCCCCAGGGCCATCTGGTACGTACAATAATAAAAAATAATAAAACAATAAATTTTATTACCCTCGAACTCAAAGTATTCATATCTGGTCATACCGTTCACAAATAAAAATAAAGTAACAAAAACAGGGTTGGTCGTTGCTCAAATCCTTTAGATCCCCAACAAGTTCTTCAGTTCATGTAGCTTATCAGTATGACATGTTGTAATGTATATAATAAAATAAAAAAAAGTTCTTCAGTTCAAGTATATACAGTAGATCCTCAATACCTTAAACCCTAATTATTTGCAGTTTTTATTTATTTTTATTTTAACGTACTTTTTTCCTAAGAATAAACTGATAAGAAATTATATCGCATTATGTTAACAGAGATGTGAACTTAATTAATTGATGATACATTTACAAAAATAATTATATCATTCGGTATTTCATTATAATCCTTTGTAATATACTTTATGACTTTTTTTATCAAATTGAAAACTTGAAGATGTATATAACAAAAATTTTTACATTTTAATATATTTCATTAATATCAAGAAGTTTTGATGGTTCTATCTTGTACCGCATTTCGCGTAATTGTACAATTAAACTAAAAAAAATATACTTATTACAATTTACTTTTTATTTTACGTAATAGTAATTTTAAAACTAAAAGTAATTGTGATTTAACGACTAAACATAGAGCACAATAGTAATTAAATAAAATTGAAATAAAATTATTAACTCATAATAACAAACACTAAAAAACAAAGAGAATGATCACTACTAGGATATCATGGAAAAAATTTCTCTAATAGAAGCATATAGTTACTTTTCGCCAATTGAGACATCAACAGGACAGAAAAATGAATTATATAATTGCAAACCGTTGAGGGCAAATATCACATTTTCTCACTCCAAAACAGCTCAACATACATTTTAATTACGAAAAATAATTTTAATGACCGCGAAACGATGTTTTCAAATAAATCATGTTCTGTGTTTTGATTTATAAATACTATTATTTTTATAATCTATGTATTACTCATAGATAATAATAGAAGTACATTAAATATATATATATTTTTTTTTTGTTGTTGCAGGTAGCCACCACGGAAGCGGAGAGTACCCCTCCCCGAACATATCGGTCGGGCCCCCGATCCACCCAGCACCTCACCTCCTCCCCTACCTTTACTCCCCAGGGCTGTACCCGGGGGCAGGGCCCCACCACCTCCTGGCCCCAGGCCCTCCACTGGGCAGCCTCTTCTCACCCCACCACGGCGTTACCCCAAGCCTCCTCTTCAACGCCCAGCTTGCCTTGGCTGCCCAACACCCAGCAGCCTTCTTCGGCCAAGGATACCCAGGTCTTCACCCTCGACTTGGATCCCACCGCTACGCTCCTTACAGCCTCCCACCGATCGGCGGCTCACCCTCCGCCTTCGAGGCAGTACCCCTGGCCAGCCCAACACCTACAAGGCCGCCTACATCACCCCCTACTACACCGACACCACCGAAACCGGAGACGACCCCGAGTGAACTGAAGAGTATAGAAAAGATGGTGAATGGACTCGAAGTGAAAACGCCGGACCTTTTGAGCCATGTGAAAGTGGAAGATAAGTAGGCTACGTTTAGTGACACACGATGCCTTTCTTCTCGGACAGTTTCACCTGTAAATTTCCAGTTTTTATATCTATCTGTGATTTAATACGAGGGTCCATCGAATTGACTGGAATCGTCAGAGGCATCCTCGTCTGAATATCTGCCCGAAAATGGTGCTACTGGCGAATATATTCATGAAAAGTGCAAGTGTCTAATGACACGTATTTTCGATGTATGTGATGTCACAATATCACTATAATTCTAAATACCTCATAAAGAAGAGGTTGCGCTCATTTTAAGCAAAGGAAATTTTTTTCTTAGATCGATATCTGGAGTGTCATACAAGACAAGAACATTCTGTAAAACGGTTTACTTGTACTAAATATTAGAAAGCTTTTGTTATTTGTGATAATGAGTTTTATATATGTTTTGTTTTATTTACCGTTCAAGGGTGTAATTGAATGTTTATATATGTATTGTACAGAACGTAATTGTTATCTTTCGACATTTCAATTGATGGAAAGGTTCTATCGGTCATCATGTTTTCATTATCTCTATTATTTTTTTGTATAATTATTGACTAATATCTAAGTAATATAATTTATCTGAGCATCCACAAGCTAATTATATGATGGAACAAGGAATATTGCACATACTCATATATAATTATTGATTAGAACCTTTTCATCATTGAGCCATATTTATTAGTATACTTGGATATACAATTTATGTAGTGTATATACAATTTGCAATATAGAAAGATTTTTAAAACTCACTCAAACAATCATCATTCTCCAATCAGTAGTGAGGTATTTGGTGTTCCCTCGGGTTTCTGCTTGGGTACAAAACATTCACAACTGTCGCAAGAGGAATTGAAATATTTCTCTATAAATACTTCTATTTTCTATGTTCTATTTTTGTGTAAAGATATTGACAGTTTTGATGTGGAATCCCAGTAAGAAACCGGCAATTTAGCTATGATTGGTGTATGTTTTATGTTTATAACAGTTTAAATAATTGTTGTTTATGATCACTTTATTGAGATATGTGGGCTTTCGAGTCGGGCAGGCCGTATGAAACGTAATCAAACACACCAGATTACTTCTACTTCAAAGTGAGATTGTGTGTGAGTGTCGGTTGTATTTTAAGTATAATAAGCAATAAACAAATTGTAAATATTGTGCATCAAACACATATATACATATATCATTGTATATGTGTCTGTGTGTTTCTATCTTAAATATTCGTTATATATTATAATATAGAAGATTTATTTACTTTAATTTGCAGTTATAAATGTTTTAAAGAAAAGTTTCCTTTGCTTATTCAGAATAGGAAGTGAAATTCTGGCGTATTAAAAGTGGAAGTTGTTCGGTTTTATTGTATTATATTTTAGCCTGTTGAGAAAAAAAAACAAAAAAACAAAAAGAAAAAAAACGACTTACCTTTTGTTATCCGGAACAGTGAACAATATCATTCGGATTATTTTTTATTCCAAGTGGTTACAACGAGTGCGCGAGTTCTCTTAACAAACTGTTTAAAAAAAAAAAAAAACTCAAGGTACGGATAAGTCAGGTCCGCGTAGGATCGCCACAGAGTTTGCCTTAAATTCACCTTCCACATGTTCCTCTTAAAATTAAAATATATTTGCTGTACACTCAATACATTATCTTACTAATAAGTACTGAATTTAATATAAGATTCATGTCATTTTTTGGGTGACATTACAACTTTGGGTGCATGTATTCTGTTGGAACTATTTTTTTTTTCTTTTCCTTTTTCAATTTTTTTTTTCTTTTTTAAAATGTCTATTCGTAAATTCTTAACTTCTTCTTTGTTATTGTGAATAAAACAATAATGTCGATAGTTTTCTTATTTTTTTTTTTGTTTTTTTTTTAAATAATATATTAACATATTCGAATTTATTATTTAATTATTATATATAAATATTATATATATGGATATATATATATAAATATAAATATATAAATATTGAACATACTTATAAATAAGATTTTAAATTATTTCTCTAATTTGTATAACATATAAAACATGACAAATACTCCTTTCTCAATTGTTGAAGAATATATGTAGAAATGTATATGATACATGATTATCGCAGCGCCTCCAATGTTGATAACGGGTTTATCCTATCAAATCACGGGTAACCCAACCATCAACGGGATGTGCTGCCATCATTCTATAAAATTTGGTGATTACATAGTTGTTTAATTATACTTCCCCACAGTTGTTTGTTTCTGTCCTAGTTTATTTGCTAAAAAACAAAAAAATAAATAAAACCCCATTTGTTTCATTGTCAAGATCGGTGTGATTGTAGCAAGGCTTGCACAAAATTGTTGAGCTGTATTGTTGTATCATCAGACTTTGTAAATCTTGTACAATATTCTGATGTCAAAGAAAAAAAATCAAAAAAATACAAAAAAAAAAAGTGTATAATCAATCAAGTATATATATTTGAGTGAAAAAGCAGCAATAATCATTAAGCAAATAGCCTATTTAAAATTTAGTATTGTATTATATTATGTGAGCAAATAGTTGTGGCTATACTTCCAAAACAGTAAATAAATGTGAATACAAATATATAATTTATTTAAAATCCCTAGAGTTGTAAGTGTTGAGTTTTAACATTGGATGTCCTTTTTTATTATTTGAATTTATTTTTTGATAAATAGATATTTGAGATAAGATCTCATTTAACTTTTTCAAAAATATTTGATCACTTTGCAGAACACAATGTTTCGTTAAATATTTATTTAAAAAAAAATAGTAACCTACACTAAATATTATTGTTCAAAGAAATACTTAAAACACCTTTTTTTTATAATAACATTAAAGGATAACAAATAACAAAGACATTTTTTAAAATAAAAACAGCGTCATACATAAAAAGCTGATTAAAAATGTACAGAAAAATGGATTTTTGAGATCATTTAAATGTTCGTAAAATCACTGATAAGAAAGTTTAAAAAAAAAATAACATGTAACCTGCTTGCTTACAGTATAAGAAAAAAAAATCAAAAATATACAATTAATATTAACTAATAAAAGTCAAATGGTGTATTTGGTAAAGGGTTATATTTCTATTGTTGAAAGCAGTAATTAGATTTATATTTGTCATTATAAATGTTTTATTATCAGCTTTCCTTATAAAAAAAGTCAAGATATATTCTCAAGTATTGGTCAAGAAAAATTAAACCATCACGGTAAGTGCTCCATTATTATTTTAGTTTTAGTAATAAAAAACCATCATCATGATTTTTTCTGGATTTTTTTATTATATATTTCAACCTGAAAAATTAAACAGAATTAGTATTGGAGATAAAATCATATTTACATTAAAAAAAAATTAAAAACTATTTTTTTTTTTTTTTGTTCAATTGTCATAGGAAAAAAGAGTATGTAAAAAAGAATGAATTTGATTTTATAAAGTAAAATATGAAATAAACAGAACCGTTAACGTAAACATTCTTTAAAATAAACATATTAAAATAATAACTATTAAGTTGTTTTCGTGCCCAAAAATCATCTTCTAACTTTCATGTCATTCAGCTGTCCAAGTCAAAGTCATTAGAAAGTAGTCACAAATTCATGCCATCCTTAGTAGTTAAGCAAGATTTTTAAATAGAGCAAGTTCCTAAACTCAGTGCTAATTCTAACGAATGATTTCAATAACTGATTGAATCCAGCAGAAGGTTAACACTCATGGAAGATTAAAAAACACATGAAAAATAAAAAAATATTTAAGAATATTACTATCTACTGAATTTTTGAATCTCAAAACAGAGATAAATATGTAATGTATATTGAAAATAAACATGTGAATTTCATCCACAGTTTCCATCGTTGAGTTTAGTAACAGTTCGATGAACTCAGCACCTTAGGGCCTTTCACATATACTCCAATCTTAGTAATCCGAACTTATTGCGGCAGGATAATACCCGGATTACTGAGAATATTTGGCAAAATACTAAAAATAAAAGATAGAAACTATCAACTGAAACTGGATAATAACAATATATTTTTAATAATTGAATACATAGGTTAACTTTTTTTTTAAAAATCATAGTGTTATTTTTGTTTGTGTTTGTGGAGATGCATTTGTTGCCACATTTTGACGCTGTTGTCCATCCAATGCAGCCGAATAGAATACTGCGTCATAATTCTTTGCTGCCATTCTATTTTTATAAAGGAAAATATGAGATTCTAGAAAAATAACAGTGGGAAGGGTGCGAAGCGAAACCTGAGGAAGTTCCGTAAAATTCGGCAAACCAGCCAGGTAGACGTCTTGGCTAGAAATTCGTTTTTAACCGTTTGACTACGAGACTTCATAACCAATGTTTCTTCCCGATGGCGGATTACGAAATTCAAAAAGACGCTCGAAAAAAAAAACGGATTTTTCCCTCCTTAAATATGTTTAAAATACTATTTAGAATCACCCTGATATATATTTTCTTTCAAAAATGCATTAAAATGTTTATATTTATTTTTGGGTTCAGAATAAATCAGCAACTGATAGCTTCCAAATGGTCAGAAACTGTAACAACCGAACTGAGTGAGCTCTAGAGGATTAATGAATGCACAGACCAAGCCACAACGCGAACTGTTGAAGCTGGGCTTTTTGCTACAGCTAAAAGTGACGATAGTGAAGGCCACAGCCAAGGTATTAATGAAAACTTCCATCCATCCTTCCTCCCATATTTTCTTTCTTAGTTTACGAGAGTAGAGCATATATACTTTAACTCCACAATAAGCTCAATGAATGACCAACGGTCAGAAATAGAGCAGAGTATAATAAGCGCAAACAGAACTTTTTTGTCCCTTTCAAAGGTACTGAAGCCCCCCAAAAATTTCAAGAAAACTCAAATTAAAGCTGTGCAATGCTATGATAAATCTCCAATATATGGGTATGGGACCTGGATACAAACCAGTGCCTAATCCTTCGCATGGTAACCGGAGCGATCTGGGATCAGAGTAATAATACATGGAGGAGAAAGACTAATAGAGAGCTGTTTACAGAAACTGGTCAATCAATATATCGTGATATGAAGGCAAAGAGGTTAAGCTGGGCGGGAGGTGTCGCTCCGATAAAGCCATCTTGAAGCCTCAGCATGACAATGAAAGCCTCGTAATAGTAGGCAAATCATCGAGTGCCAAAAAGCAGATGCAGATGCCAAAAAGCAGATTGAATCAACAAAGATGCAATAGAGCTTCTTGCGAACAACTGGAAAGATATAGCCCGAGAAAGGCAGAGATGGAGAAGGCTTGTTAAGGCGGCAAAACATCTGTAATGTCAACAGAAATATATATATATTAGATTGGAGTTTGGATTACTAGAGTAATTGGACAATCTAAATTACTACTGCCAGACTAATGGGATTACTTTGTGTCATTCATAGTTTTATGTCAGCAAGTGTGTTGTTGTATCGGAGAGCCTGTCTTTAAGTCGACTGTTCTATACCCCAACCTAATCAGACGACCAAAGAACGCCATGAACGAGAGTTATTTCATAAGCTAATGTTACCGTACCAAAAGTTGTCAAACTGTTCCTTTCCAATCTATTATTACATGAAAAGCGTAAGTCATATCCCACCCAAGACCTCAGTTTTGATATATTGTAATTCTAAAAAATATCTTGTTTCGAGAAACTATACCATATATCAACGCCAAGAATGCAAATAAACGGTTTTCTGATTTCTTATATTCATCGCCTAAATTAATGTTTTCATCTTGATCTCATTCAACCAAGCCTCTTTCTAAGATTTTTAGATCTAAATTTTAAAATGCATAGTGTGCACTCATGAAATGAAAAATATTTTTATTGTGGGGTTAAATCTTCTAAGAATAGTGACAAGGTTCAAGAAATATGAAAATTAGTATGGCATGTAGAAGCAAAATATACAAGCAAATATACAAAAAAAATAAATACCATAAAATAAAATGGTACTTATCAATCGATTGTTAATCAGCAAATGTAATTAGAAAATCTAAAAGTTCTTACATGGTTGCGGAAGATTGTCAAGTAGGTTGTGGAATAGGAGTTGTTTGAAGAAATCTGTGAGTGAGGATTGGCCTATGGCGATACGTAAAGAGTTCCAAAAGAAGGTAGCACGAATGACGAAGGATTTTCTGAAGGATGTAGTTTTATGGGAACGTATGTATTGATCTGTAGGTCTTAATCTGGTATAAAGTGAGTGGATAGAGGAGCGTAGAATAAGGAGTTCTTGGATGTAGGGAGGATTTTTGGTTCTGAGGACATGGAAAAGGGAAATACCAAGAAGGAATTGCTGTTGGGAAATAGAGCAGAGCCACATTAGCTCGGTGTACCTGAAGGACATGAGAACGCTTGGGAATCCCAATGACGAATCTAATGAACCAATTCATGAGTCTCTTGAAACTCACTTCCAATCTTGCTGACAACCCTCCGTTGACCGAGCGAACGTAGTCGAATTATAGGAAAATGAGGGAGGTTACAAGGAGCTGTCAGGTTTTCTGAGGAATAAAATCACGGAACTAATGAATGGCTTAAGGATAATTATGGATTTTTGGGAAATTTGATTTTTTCATGACAGGTTCTGATCAAAGGTCACCCCATAGGTTTTTGAATGTCTGGAGGAAATAAATGGGGTGGTTATTGAGGTAAAGTAAAGGAGAGTAAGGAATAAAGCTAATAAGATGTCTGCAACTGATGAGGATAGCCTTAGTTTTATGTTACTCGACATTCTCACTATGGTTAGAATAGGTTTGGTTTTACCTCTAGAACAACCCCTCCCTCCCCGCGTATGTCAGATATAGTGGATCTGGGGTAATTCAATAAAAGAAAAAAAAAAAACCTTAGTTCTATCAGGATTCACCTTCAATTCACTTATTTCCGCCCATCTTCGGATACAGTCGCAATCCTCTTGTTGCTTTCGAGTAGCCTCAGGCATCTCTGAAGGATTGAACCATTGGTAAATACGGAAATTAGCGGCATATAATTGTTAACGAGAGTGATGAATGGAGTTAATAAAAATAGAGAAAAAGATAGGAGAGAGTGAGGCCTGAGGCACACCCCGTGTTATTTGAAGGGACGAAGAAGGCGATTTATTATGAATAAAAACAGGGTGAAATGGGAAATTCATACTTGATCCCTTTGTAGCTAGAACTTCTTCAATCTTCAATGTTTTTTAAGATAAGAAAATATATGTTGAGACAAATGTAACGTCACCAAATGAAGGCTACAATCATTTCAGAACTGTCTGATGGGAATAAACGTGGGAGTTAGTGTGTCAGTTGTTTGATTCACAATCGTTGAATGGAGAGACCACAATAGCCTTATTATAACAACTTTAACAATCCTAACTATAATATTTTTCAATCAAGTTTACAATTTGTATTAAAAAAAAAAATTAAACACTTTTACTTCATGCCACTTTATGGTCCTAAATACTGTTAAGGATTTAATTTTTACTCGTTTTAATATGGGTTTAACTTGCGATTAGCTGGTGATGCAAATATTGCTAGATAAAGTAGCAGAAACTATGAGATCAGATATAATAAATTTTATGAAGAATTAACTCTCCAAGTAAATATTCATAA